CGCGAACGCGGACCTGACGCGGACTGAAACAGTGTACTTGTAAAGTACCGTGCCCGGGCCGCGGCCGCGGACGTCCAGGCCTAGAAGCTTGTCCTTTTTCGCGTAAGAGAAGGTATAATTGTTTGGGCACGACCCTACTTGGTATATATACATGGAAAAACGGTATTTTGAGAGGTGGGACACACTTTTGACATAATTTAGACCTAAAGAGGCTAAGGAGACCGGAGATTCGACCTAAGGAGGCAGAGATACAATAGGAGCAAGGCGGGGAATTCTTCTACGAGTTTTTCTTCCTCTTCCTATCTTTTATTGTTGGTTATGACTTTTAGTATTGTAGTTTTACATACTATTATGAATAGCTCATTTGTTATCTAGGGTTTTGATAGAACCTTTTGTAGAATAAATTCTTGTTATGTTTTTATATAATTGAGCCATTGAATTTTTCTACTTGTTCAACTATGTGTTTGTTGTTGTTGATTGAATGGCCATCAATTGACTGTGCCTATTTAGTGTGTACTGCTCGAGAGAGAGTACATATTTAGGTAGTTGTTGAACAACGTCACTCCTAACGTATGTGAGAAATCAATACATTGGGTTTAAAGGTAGGTTTAGAAATAACAAAGCCTTGACGTGGTCATAATGAGCGGTTAGATAAAGCCAACTAGCGTAGTTCGAGAGAATATGTCTAGTAAATTATTGTAGTTGCTCGAGAGAGAATTACGACACCTAAAGTGCTCACGATCAGTAGAGAATACATTGGCGAAATTGTAGGGAACATAGCTAGAAGGATTCCGACAATTGGGGAAATCATAACTCTAGACCTCCTTAATTTAGTCTCTAACCCTTTGTCTCGTTAGTTGATAATTTTACCGCTTTGTAGTATTTGCTAGTTAATTAGTTAGAAATATAAATCTCAATCTTTATAATTTAGGAAATTGTTCAAACTTGTCTTCTTAGTGATATTAAACAGATATAGCTAAGCCTTAGTTCTCTGTGGGATTCGACTCCGGACTTTTAGAGCGGATTATATTTGCAGCGACCGCTTATCCTTTTTAGGACTAGAGTTGGGCGTGATCAGTCCATGCCGAGGCCCAGCAAGATATATACAAGGGTTTCTGGGAGGGGGGAATGTTCCAGAGGCTGCCTTTGAAGATGCTCGAGCGAAGGCACGCGAAGCTCGCACTGCCTGCGGTTACGACCCTTCTGATGGTGACGATAATGTTGGGGAGAACGGCGGTGGGGATGATGTTGAGTGAAGCTGCTGTAACCTTTGTACTTTTTTTTTTGTTTAATTTCCTCTTTTCCTGAGGGCACGTTTTGGCCTTTTGTAGGGTGCGGCTGTCGCGCACGTATATTTGAATGAGATAGTTGTTTCGCCTTCATTTGTGTATCTTTCGATTTTCATTATGATGAGTCCCTGACTCTTTTAGTTGTGAATCCGAACCTGCGAGTTTGGGCGAGGTTGACTTCTGATTTGCCAACTCAAGCGGAACCAACCTTAATTCAGACGAGGCCGAATTTAAATTCGCCATCTAGGGCGAAGTCAGTTTTGACTTGTATACTCGAGCGGGATTGAATTCCGGCTTACCAATTCAGGGGAATTCAATTTTTCCATATGTATTCGAGCGAGGTCAAACTTGGAATTGCCAACTTGGGGGGAGTTAATTTCTGACTTATATATTCGAACGAGGTCGAAACTCGATCAGTTGATTCGGGTGGGCGAATTTTTACTTTTACCCGACGGTGGCCGATGGCCGTAAGGGTGCTAATTCGAGCAAGGTCGAAATTATAACCCGTTACGAATTCGAGTGAAGCCGAACTTCTCTTTTGGTGAAGGCTGATGGCCGTAGGGGTGTTATTTCGAGCAAGGTCGAAATTATAACCCGTTATGAATTCGAGCGAGGTCGAACTTCTCTTTTGGCGAAGGCCGATAGTCGTAGGGGTGTTATTTCGAGCAAGATCGAAATTATAACCCGTTATGAATTCGAGCGAGTTCGAACTTCTCTTTTGGCGAAGGCCGATGGCCGTAGGGGTGTTATTTCGAACAAGGTCAAAATTATAACCCGTTATGAATTCGAGCGAGGTTGAACTTCTTTTTTGGCGAAGGCCGATGGCCGTAGGGGTGTTATTTCGAGCAAGGTTGAAATTATAACCCGTTAGGAATTCGAGCGAGGTCGAACTTCTCTTTTGGCGAAGGCCGATGGCCGTAGGGGTGTTATTTCGATCAAGGTCAAAATTGTAACCCGTTGTCTTATTTCTATTGGAGAACATTGCTCGTCGCCGTGTTGTTTACGCGTCCGTCCGGGCAAGTCTTGGTTTGCTTAGTTTCGCTTTCATTTGGAGAATACTGTGCATTTACTGGGTGAGTCCCAGTTTGCTTAATTTCGCTTCCATTCGAAGAATACTGTGCATTTCCTGGGTGAGTCCCAGTTTGCTTAATTTTGCTTCCATTCGAGGAATACTGTCCGTTTCCTGGGTGAGTCCCAGTTTGCTTAATTTTGCTTCCATCCGGAGAATACTGTGCGTTTCCTGGGTGAGTCCCAGTTTGCTTAATTTTGCTTTCATTGGATATTGTTTTTCAATAGTCGACCTACATCGAGCCCTTCTGTTATTTGTAATATGGTGCAGCTTAGAGGGTTTTTCTTTGTCGTTACTTGCGAGATGGCATGGTACGGAACTTTTTCCTGGGATGTTTTGGTGGCGTTCGTCCCTTGCCCGCGTACCTATGCGAGTGCTCGTATTCCTGTTTCGGACCAACAAAAGAGTGTGATAAGATAAACCCAAACGAAATCCTCTATTACCTCGGCCTGGCAAGTCGGTGAAAGGAGGAGCGGCGCTGTAGGGTTACTCGCTTGGCCTCGTACTCGAATAGTGGTTTCTGATTTGGCAGCCATGTTTGGCTTCGCCATTTAATCGCGTCTACACCTTTCATGAGTTGGGCTTACCTCACCTGTTGGGATACCAAGGTCGAGTCCCAGTCCAATATGCGCAAACAATAAGGGAAACATGTTATACTTTGTACATAAATCATCCAGTGTGCGTGATACGAAAATAAGGTAGGATGTTCCTGGTATTTCAAAGGGACACGAAGTAGGCTATCATCCCTTCCCAAGGGGTGGAAGTACAAGTCGGTATACAAGTAGAATACATCGCCTGGAGTTGCGGTCATGCCAAGCGCATAGTGACCGTGGTTCTACTCCAAACATGCATATGACCTGCCAAACCCATCGTTACAGGTGAGGCATGGGTCTCGTATAGACATCGGTCCTGATGTTTATTTTGTGTAAGGATCTGACCTAAATTGGTACGGTTATCTCAAAAACTTATCTACCATTCTTTTCGACTTGGCGTTGTTACCGAGATGGTGAGTTTATATATACTAGGATCAAATGAGGCTGAGTTTATATTACCCACCTTCCCCTTTATCCAACGGTCTTTAACCAACATATCCCTTCTCGACTATCTTCCTCTTTTCTTGCTCAAGCATGACCGCATATATTCTGCAGCGCGAGCCTTCTCGATGGCTCGATCTCGACAGTGGTCGAGATGCTCGTCGCCATTATGCCTCATGGGTACGTCCATGGCTTGGTCGACCCCTTACCGTTTTCCTTAATGGTAATCCACTTGTGGTCAGATTTTGACCCATACAGTTCCCCGTGATACTCAAATCATGTGTCCGTCTCTGATTATAAGTGACATAAGAAAAGCTTTTGGTGTAATAGCTAAGATCGCTCAAAAGTAGGTTTACGTATTACATAATGTTAAAATTTCTGAACCCGCCATTATATTTTCCTGGCATAGTATGCTGTAATTTCAATATTATTTATAACAAATTAAAGGTGAAATATACTGGATTTATTGGTATGGAATATGCATCTTTGTGCAAGCTTAAATGGAACCTATGTCTAAAGAAAGATAAACAATGGGTTACATGGGTAGACACCAATTATGGAAAAGGGAGAACTGTTTAGGGCTTGGAAGTTAGAGCCCGTTTGGATTAGCTAATTTGAAGTAGCCGATAAGCATTAGGTGCTGAAAAGTACTTTTAAGTACTGAAACAGATTTAATAAATAAGTAGTTACGTGTTTGGATACAAGTGCTGAAATTGATAGCAAGTTGCTGTAGTATTTGATAAAAAAGTGCCGATAAGCTCTTTTTCTATTAAAATGACTTAAATAACCTTAGAACTGTTTACACTTATAAGGACGTAATTTTTTCAAAATTTTAGATTTCAGATCGATTCAAATTCAAAATATTCTATTTGTCATTTTATTTAAATACAATTGTGATTAGATAAGATAATTTTTATGATAAATATAATTTATTTTATAATAAGCATATATTCATAAGTTATAATAATCAATAAATTGACAAAAGTTTCTCACTAGAAAAATAAACCTAAATAGGACAAAATATTTAAAGAGAAACAAACACTTCTTCATCACCACAACACTTAGAAAGCAATACACCAAAAATTTAATATGTCCTCGTTTATTACATACAGTTCAAAGATTAATACACAATCACATAGATACAAATACGCAAAGGAATAGAGAATTTGCTTACCTTAAATAGTTAATGAGAATTGCAGACTTGAAGAGGCGGGGGGGGGGGCGGGGGAGCGAGGGGGGGGGGTTTAGTGAAAAAATACATGAGGCAATGAGTATCAATATAGGAGTTTTGTTCTAAAAGGAAATATTTTAGGGATAAAATAGTAAAAAATTTGGTCAAATTTAAAGTGCTTATAAATTAAAAATTCATAAACTAGGGGTGATAAGCTTATGGTTTATTTTTTACTTATAAACACTTGACTTACAAGCAATTTTAAGCTTAGCCAAAAACCATCTCAATCAAGCTTCTTGGATGCTTAGGAAGGTGTTGATGGCTAAACAATATATTGATGTTAGTGTCCTAAAATTTAGAACCCATAAAAAGTGTTAAATTGACTTAAGTGACATGGAGGAAGTTGGTCTATAACCACTACGGTGCAAAAAAAGAGATTAAAGGTTAAATAACAATAATTGTATTGATAATACACGCATTAATTAAGGCATGTAAAATAAAATAAAATAAAATATAGAAAACGGTTTTCATGCTATGAGACTGCTATGGTTAAGTCCATGAAAAGAAGAATCAAATCCATTCCAGTTTTGCCTGTTTGAATCTTCGAAATCACTCATATTGTTCACTTCTCCATTAATCTGCCACGGGAAAATCATTTCTTGATCATAAAGCATTCCCATTTCTGCACTCACATTTAACCCCATTATTTCTCCATTTTCAACTTGCCCCAAGTTTCCAATATCATTACCAATCCCATGATACATATTATGGTGGAATCCATTTGAGGTTAGTTCAAGAAAACCACCCCTTTGTGCACCAAGAAAATCATCATAGTAAACATTGTTACACATCATTGACATATCATTTTCTTCAATTCCCAAATTCCCACTTGCCTGTTTTTGGAGCTTAGCAAATGCTAGACTTAAATCACTTGAATCATAACATGACAATGGTGTAAAAGATGACAGTGGATAATTAGTACTGTTGGCTATAGACTCATGATCTAATTGGCTTTTCTTTGAGGTTGTTCTTTTGTTTTTTCTGCAGCCACCACCAACTGGAACATTTCTAAGTGTACCACCTTTAGTCCAATACCTTCTACATGATTTGCAAAAGTATCTAGGTTGAGTGAGACTGTAGTTGTTGTAGTAGCAGAATTTGGTGTTGGTTGAGTCACATCTTGGACATTTTTGTGCTTGTTCTGCAGCTGGCCTTGGTTTCTTTTCTTGCTCTGGCTTATTTGTGTAAGCCAACATGTTTTCTAGTGTTTGGGATGACATTTTTGTTGAGACAGCAACAGAAAACACAAGAATGATCTAATATAATATAGAAACTTTCAAGAAAACTAGAAGGGTTGATTTGAATCACAGAGAAAGCTAGATAAACTTAATTATGGCTTGCCCCTCTATGAAAAACGACCGCGTTGCTTCATTTATATAGAAAGAGAGGGGAAAGGAGGGGGTTGGGGTGGGGTGGGGTGGGGTGGGGTGGGGTGGGGGGATATTTGGAGGTTAGCCCTAGAGGTAGAAGTCCGGATTTTAAACATATAAATATGTTTGGAATTATAATCCTTATAAGTTATTGGTTTCTAAATTAATAATTTGTACTGAATTCGGCCGAACCAGTACTAGCCCATGCTCTAACTCCGTGTCATGGTCAGGGGCGGATTTAGGGGGGTGTGACGGGTTCACCCGAAAGGTCGAAACTCCTTTGCCGAAAAAAATTGCACTGCACATATAAGACAAAATTCGTTTTGTGTCTCTATATATTATATTTTGAACCCCATTGAAATGGTCCAAAAGTGTAGCTCATTAGTAGTCGAGGGGATTCAAAGTCTTTTGTAAGGTTATTGGTTTTATTACCATTCGTCACAGTCTCTTTTAATTTTTTAATATTTTTCTTTTTTAAACGCCTTAGTAGAAATTCTGCCTGCGCCACTTGTCGTGGTACGTTGTGGGTGAGAGAAAAAGAGTAGAAAATTAAATAGAATGGTGTAGTGACTACTAGGGGTGTATGAGAAATGTGTATCTAGGCATCTTAGCACATAAATAAAACTTTATTTTACACCATTGATGCGTAATGAGATAGTTGGGATCAATTCACTATTAATCTGAGATTGTACGTTTTAGTCTTTTAAAATTAAGAATCCATTAGAACCGTAATACCTTTTAATGGGCGTATTTGAAAATTTCGAATTAATCAGATTAGTGAACTTTATAATCAATGATTAAAAAAGTTTTGTGAAGATGGAATGCTTAGATGGAGACCGTGTCACATATATATCATGGAAAAATTTTATTTTGTGCCTCGCATAACTGACACTAGTTGTGTGAGGCCTCTTTTTTGTCTCACAACTGTGTGGTCCCAGAATTTTTATGGACCCAGATGTCTAAGATATGAGTCCACAAATATATGAGATAAAAAAATGTCTCACACAACTAATGTAAGCTGCGTGAGACACAAAATAAAATCACTCTGTATCATGATAGTGTAATCATTAGAACTCTTCATCATTCATGTCTCCATCGTTCCTATTTTACTCATAAACAAGACCGCCACGTTCCTTCATATTAGCTACGATCATAGCGCTAGCTGCTAGATGTTTGTGTTGGTGTGGGGAAATTTGTGTTTGAAGAAAAGCTTGATACAAATATAGTACTTACTCATCATACTCATAGCATAGACAGATATCATGTTTAATTATATCAAAAAAAAAAAAAAAAAACATTAACCATTGGCGAATCCGAGAAGGACATGCTTGTTGTGCTAACACGGTCAAAAGATATTCTTAATACGGTGTGATATTATCTTCTTTGAGTCAAGCTCGTACGGGCTTCTCCAAAAAGTTTCACACTATTAAGAGATCCATACACATTATATGTAGGCTCCCAATCTTTTCAGCTACCAATATGGGACTTTGTTCGCACAATCAACAATCTCCTGCTCAAACTAAGTTACACATGGTCCACTACCTCGATTCATGTGTCTCCCGTCGAAGTAAGTTTCACGTGGATACCAAATTCGACAGAACGAATATGAAAATGGCAAAGTGATGGTGTGAGACGGCGCGCATACCAAAAGAAGCTAGTTGCGGGTGGCTGTCGCCCTAAATCAACGTTTGTGCTGCCTTATACCTAGACAAATCTCCTTCTACTTCTGCCTGTAGCTGCTTCCTTAGTTTCTTCTTTCTTAACTTTCCTCTTTCTAATAGAAAATCAAATTTGATAAGTAGAAATTTTTGCTGGTTGCTATCGATTCGAATTAGTCGGCTCCGATGCGTATAATGGGTACTAATTGAGAAATCAAAACAAAAAATAACTAAAGATGGTAATACTTAGCCACATCTTTCCTCTTTCTTTTTCTTAATATATATTACTTCATTCGTCTCAATTTATGTGGCATTGTTTGACTTGAACAGAGTTTAAGAAAGAACTAAATTTTTTTAAAATTAATTATAATCTAAACCAAGCCTTAAATATTGGTGTGGCTATACACAATGTTTTAAAAGGCGGGGGCGTGAGGCGAGGCGTAAGCTCTGAGACATGGGGTGTAAGTCCCACGGATCTTTAAATTTTATAAATTTTAAGGATTTTAAGATAGTATAAAATAAAAATAAATATAAAAATTACACTAAAATCACAAAGTTATAACAATAATCTATTTAAAATATTTATGAATTATAATTCAACTATGAATAATACGAAAAGTATGACATATCATAATATGCAAATTAGTTGCAACGTCGTTACAACTCAAACATCAAAAATAATGTATTCGATAAGAAATCTTATACGTATCTCTTAAGGAGTATTGAATCTTGAAAGATTTTCTACATTATAATTTGATATTTAAAAAAAAATACTTTAATATGCTTTTTATTTAAAAGAGAATTTATATAAAAACATAATGCACAGTTTAAATATGATTCGCTAGCATCATTTATTTTTAAGTTTCAACAACTTAATAAAGTGACACATAATTCACCATACAATAACATGATAACTAATTATTTTTAAATAGTTACTAGCTAATACTGAGCTATTAAATTAATAAGTATTGTATCTCGTAAACGTGAAAAAGAATATTTAAAAAAATAATTATAAAATAATTATGGACTATTATATAATAAAGAATAAAAGTTAATAAATAAATACTTTTTAAATAAAGATTTATTTAAAATTTAATATCATAGCAGTCTTAATGGATAACATGTAATAATATTTATTTTAATTATGTCATAAAATTCTCTCAACTTAATGATTTATGATTAAAAAAATAATTTTGAATAGTCAACGATTTATTGAAAAAATTTGAGAATTTACAAGGTTAGTTACATACAATTGCATAAAGTTCTATTAGGCGAGCCCAATACACTGGGCATTCGGCGTGTCCGAGGCGTAAGCCCTGACGGCCGAGACGTAAATCTCACGGAACTAAGCCCCACACATAAGCCCAGGGACATTTTAAGAGTGCTCCGCTCTGGGGCGAGCCCCGGGCGAGTCCGATTCAGCCTTTAAAACAGAGGCTATACATCATCTCACTGAGAATAAACTAAGACTTTTGAGTTTTAATTGTTTCTGAGTATAGAAATATGATATTCTTTTTGGCCAAATTAAAAAAAATGTCCCAAGTAAAACAAAACTATTTCAAATGAGGCCTTACGGGACTTTTCATAAAAATCATCTGACTTTTATTTACCACTTACAAAGATGAAAGATGAAAGATGTAAGATAAAATAGTATACAATAAATTCAATGTGTATTTTGGATCCTGCGCATAACATCAAAGCATATTTCATCAGGCTGCTCATCTTAATTCTTTGTTTCTTTTTAATCTTAAAACACTCGAATTGTAGTGGTGGGCCCATAGAACAAAGTGGGACCATAGTGGATGATTAAAAACTGAACATGCCCTAGGGATCAGTCAAATTAGTTGACTGGTCAAATATTTCCCATCACTCAAATAAAACATTATTGACACAAAGCAAAAGTATGTGGTGAGTGCTGTTTATAATGTATAGAAAACTGAGCCTCAAATTAAAACGGAAATTGACAATATAAACTGTATAGAGAGAGTATTAGCGAAGAAAAGAATCTGCATGCATTTGTATTTGCATTCCCATTTCCTCTTTTTAGAAAACATAAACAAATACTGTAAAGAGAATTTGATGTTCAGATATTAGGCACAAGGTTCTGAACAGATTTATTAGGAAATCGAACACAGGATTTGCCTTGTGCTTTGGGCTCAAGCCGTTGGAAAACGTTGTGTTAACGTCGAGTTCTGAGTTTCTAATTAAAGTCCTAAATTGTATCCAAGTTGGGAATATTAATGTATCACTGGATTATCTTCTCAGCCTCAGGTTGATTTGTTTAAGACCAGTGTTTTAAAAAACGCGGGCGTAAGGCGAGACATTTTATATATATTTAAGCGATATGTAAGTTCCAAGGCACGGGGTGTAAGCCTCATAGGTATTTAATTTTAATATTTTAAAAATGATATAATTACAGTAAATATTTATAAACAGGTAAAATTGCATAAAATTTGAAAAAAACTATAAATATGTGAATATATATAGATGTGCTCCCTTCCCACAAAAATCTAGTCAAAATAATCTATTATACGCTATTTAGAAGCATAAGAAACTTGAGTCGAAAAGAATAAAGTTTTCTACATAGAGGAACAAAAAGGATGACTAACCTGCAATTTGAACTTTGAACTTGTTGCTATGAAGGAGAATAGAGTTCTCTTTGTATTTGTAAAAAATAAATTGAATATTCGTTACTTTTGGGAGATATTAGCAAACTAGCGGACAAGATAAAGAATTGGAAAAGAGCATGAATTAGGCTTCAATCAATAAAAAAGGTCCTTACTTTTAAATTTAATACATTTTAGTTCCTTTTTAAAACTTTTGAGTAATTACCAAGCTGAATATTGAGAATTTGGATATTATAAGGACTTATTCAACAAATTTTGTTTTAATTTGAACACCCTCTGGGGCTTATGCCTCACTAAAAAGACGTGCCTCAAACGTCCGGGAGTACGCCCCGAATGCCCGGGCATACGCCCCAAATTGCTGGGCGTACGTCTCTTGAGACTTTCGCCCCACACCATCGTCTCGGGGCGTTTTTTGTGCGCCTCGCCTCAACGCTCACTCCGAAAACGCCTTTTAAAACACTGTTTAAGGCTATCATATTCTTGTATTAAGCTGGATATGCGGACCTAGGATTTAAAGGTGCCAGGGCACGAACCAGGGGCGAAGCTACAGCCTATTAAGGGTGGTCAACTGACCACCCTTCGTCGAAAATTATATTGTGTATATAGGTAAAATATTAAGTTTTAAAGATATATAATATATATTGAACACCCTTTATCGGGAAATTTATTTCATTTCTTTCAAGTTT